TTTAATAAATTATTGAAAGAATTAATAACATTGAAATGTAGATATCAATTATATCTTTTATATTTATTTAATAAAATTTAATTAATTAAAAATACCTTAATTTAAGATGTAATTTTGTAATATTTTGGCATTTTTCCAGACTATTTGAAATGCTTTGAGCTCCTTAATCTGATATTTTATTCTCACTAAATAAAAGAAATATTTAATTTCATAGCAGTAAATGTGTAAGTGAAATTTTAAATTAAGTTCATAAAATAATATTTCGTTTTTTAATTATTTTCTCTATTAAATTTCAAAATATTTACCACAAATAAAGAATTAAAAATTTAATCAATTATTGAAAGAATTAAAAACATTGAAATATAGATATCAATTATATCTTTTATATTTATTTAATAAAATTTAATTAATTAAAAATACCTTAAATCAAGATGTAATTCAGTAATATTTTGGCATTTTTCCAGACTCTTTGAAATGCTTTGAGCTCCTTAATCTGATATTTAATTCAAACTAAATAAAAGAAATATTTAATTTCATAGCAGTAAATGTGTAAGTGAAATTTTAAATTAAGTTCATAAAATAATATTTCGTTTTTTAATTATTTTCTCTATTAAATTTCAAAATATTTACCACAAATAAAGAATTAAAAATTTAATCAATTATTGAAAGAATTTAAAACATTGAAATATATATATCAATTATATCTTTTATAATTATTTAATAAAATTTAATTAATTAAAAATACCTTAATTTAAGATGAAATTTTGTAATATTTGGCATTTTTCCAGACTCTTTGAAATGCTTTTAACTCCTTAATATGATATTTTATTCCCACTAAATAAAAGAAATATTTAATTTCACAGCAGTAAATGTGTAAGTGAAATTTTAAATTAAGTTCAAAAATAATATTTCGTTTTTTAATTATTTTCTCTATTAAATTTCAAAATATTTACCACAAATAAAGAATTAAAAATTTAATCAATTATTGAAAGAATTAAAAACATTGAAATATAGATATCAATTATATCTTTTATATTTATTTAATAAAATTTAATTAATTAAAAATACCTTAAATCAAGATTAATTCAGTAATATTTGG